CCTCGAGACACCTCCCGATATCGTGACCTTTTCCAAGAAGGCTCAGGCTGCCGGTTTCTACTATGGTGATCCCGCCATCCGTCCCAACAAGCCTTACCGTCAGTTCAACACCTGGATGGGTGATCCTTCGCGAGCCATTCTCTTCAAGGCCATCATCGACGAGATCAACCGACTTGACCTTGTCAACCACACCGCTCGCGTTGGTGACTACCTCTACGGCGAGCTTGAGGGTCTTTCCCGCAAGTATCCTGGCCAGTTCCAGAACCTCCGTGGCAAGGGCCAGGGCACATTTATCGCCTTTGACAACCCCAAGCGCGACCAGTTCCTCGCCAAGTCCAAGGCCCTCGGTGTCAACATTGGTGGCAGCGGTACTGATGCTATCCGCCTGCGTCCCATGCTCATCTTCCAGAAGAAGCATGCCGATATTCTCCTCGACACTGTTGAGAAGATTGCCAAGGAGTAAATGACAAGCAACAAGGCAATATAATGATCACGGTTGCATATACATCTTGGAGTCAAGGGCTGGCTCAGGGGAGCCAGATTGGGTTATCACTCGACCGAGGGCTAGAGACTCGGTATCTATCGCATCTATATTCCGCGAATGTTTGGTGATGTGTGCGTGGGTTGTGTTTGAAAAAAGCTTGATAGGATGATTTATGTCTAAAGATAACGGAGTTTAATGCAACTTGGTTAAAGCGTTGCCTTTTATCTGCTTATGTGATTATGTCTTTGTTGATGTTGCTTTGTTTCCTCGATTGGCTCATCTTGTCGCTTGAGAATTAATGATAGATTTCATAGTAACAATATTCAAAAGTAGAGAATTGAGTGCAAGGTTTAAAAGGAATCATTACAAATTCTTACAGTCTCTAAAAGGTCAAATCCATCTTCAGAGACATAAGTACATCCTCTTCCATAATCGCGCTGTGATGCCTGACACGGCATTCTCCCTGGTAATGTTCATGCAAAGTATAATAGCAATCATCCTCTATAGTAGTCCCAAATACAGCACTGCAGTAGTAAAACCAGTACCATCAAAACGTGGCCAGCCAGCTAGCCCGTGTCAAAAAGTAAAGAAGCGATGCCGTATAGTCCATCTAGAACTCAGGTATAGGTGAGACCACCTGGTCGCAGGTATTCGTCGTAATCTCATTTCGTAGCTGCTCCCCTATTTGGACCTTGACCTCTCCGACGATGCCCGAGATCGACGAGACTTCCCCGTGGTAGCACGGTCGTCACCTCTGGGCTGAAGTCTGAACCCTGGTGAGGCATCTTCGGCGGTCACTCGCTGTACCCCACCAAGGGATTGAGGTCGAAGAGGTGAGGGCTCTGGTAATCTCTGGATTATGGGCCCCTAAAGCTATTAGTTTTATTTGAAAGCGTGGAAATGTTTCTCGGCTTACCGGAATGCCGTTCTCAAGCCCGAGGAGTTGTCTTCGTGCATTTCGACGAGCCACAGCTGGGCGTGGATTGGTAGAAATAGGAGGATAGTAAGATGTCGCGGCTGGCCCGACGCCTAGCTGTTGGGCATGAGGGACCTGACTTGAGGGTGGAACAGCTCCTTGGTAGGGACCTTCGCGGTAAACTTTGGGTAGAATAGCGCGAGGGGCAGGGCCGTTTGCTGGCTGCAACTGTCTAGGTTGCTCTCTTCGTAGCTCATCGGAAGGCTTTGGTGCAATATGCCGTAGAAGAGCGGGCTGGTGACCAGATGCCTCCCTGCCTGAATACATTGGGCGACCTCTCTTCCTCTTCGGTAGCGGCGCGGGTGGCTGAGACGAGGGAGACTCGCGAGATTCAGTCGACAAGGGGCGTGGTAGAATCGGTACATGTCTCGAGGGCACAGAAGGCCGGGGGAGAGGAGGAAGCTCTTGAGAACTTGTTGAAGCGGCCTCCTTGCCACTCTGGCTGTCTGGTTCTTCTTTGTATGTCACCTTGCGCTTTCTGCCGCGCGGTTTAATATCTAAGCCATCGACAGCTCGCATGCAATCAGCCATGTGGCGGCCTTGACAGTAAATTAGTATAGAGATAAGAGAGTGCAAATAGATGTGCATACCTGCTGGAAGCTGCATTCGCATCCAGTTGGGATCGATACGGTTAGATTTAATAAATCTTCCAAGAATCTTGACATCCAGCTGGCTGTTCTTGATTATCTCCGCGAGAAGCAGTCGCTTTGACAACACTATATTAGCGATCCCTAAACACCATGAAGGATGGTAACATACCTTCTCTTCCTCGGTGAACGGCTCCATCATTCCTATCAGCTCAGCTCAAAGAGAAAGCAAATATCAAGAGCAAATAACTCTTCAGGTTTCAAAAGCTCGCTGTTCAACAGTGCGTCCAACAAAATGTTTAGCAGAGATGAGAGCTCATCACAGTCACGACCCTGGTGCTTGGTGTGATGACTGAAAAGGGCTTCGCTAACGACTGTGTTGAAAGAAAGTCCAACGCTGAGGTGCTAACAAGACTCGAGCCGCAGCGAATCCAACGTCGGAGGCCTGTCCCACGCTCGATCTCGGAATGTGGTCTGTTAAGGGAACCCAGAGAGCCGGCTCAGTCGACCCGTGCAAGTATCGATAGCGATGGGTTGCAAGTAGTAGCGAAAGGGAAAAGAAGCGAAGGACACCGCGTCGATCGCACAAGCCGAACCTGAAGTACAAGATCCTACAGAGTCCGAGCCAGTAACCTTGCCACAGCAGCTTGTGCCGCTCGTATGAGAGAGCGGAATCCTGCTGGCTCTTGGTTGAGAGTCTAGTAGTCGATGTCGCGCAAAAGGATTCCGATATTCACTCTCCAAGTAGAGACGAGAATCGGTAACGAGTGTAGCCTGGGACACGCAGATCGAGGTGTTGAAAGATGAGCCCGGCTGTGGTTTGCCACTGTGAATGAGGATGCAAGAGAGAGGACTGGTGAATGGCACTCAAGATGCGACCAAGATCATTCACCCAGGAGAGCGATGGTTGGGACGAAAAACGCGTTCATGTTTGCATGTACCAAGGAAAATATAGCTGGTCCGCTGATGCTGATGACAGCTGCCAGGCAGGTGGCAGATCAGCCAAAGCGCACACCCTCGGGCAGTGTCAGACCAGAGCAAACCTCCACTGCAAGAGACAGAGGGCGCACAGGAGGGACGCCGACCGAGATGAGCTGGGTCCCTCAGAGCCGCCAAGACGCTGGCTGGTTGCCATGCGGTTTGCAGGCTCCCAATGGTGTGCATCAGCTGCAAGCTATACCGGTACAGCCTCAGCACGGGAGCGGCCGAGAGGGCGATGCACAAGATGCGATCCAGCACTCGCGTCAGGGGATCAGGGGCTCGTTGATCGAGTGTGGGTGTGTTCCGTCGTACAGGTCAAGCCTGTTCCAGGATCTAGCAATCCTTTTGGCCTCTGGCGCATTATTTGGGTTGCGAAGTGTCGTTATCAGTCATGGCCATATTCGAAAGCCGGGACCAAACAAGGAAGTTGGTCAAGCACATGTCTCGACATCATTGCCCATGAGCCCTGTCCTGTCTCACTCCAGAGCCTCCAATTTGCCGTGCAGCTTGGTTTGCTGCTTGTCCATGACCCCACGATCCATGGGTTGCCTCAATAAGAGCCAAGGCACCGCAGCTTGCAGCCACCCTCCTTTTTGATCAACCCGTCTGGGTGCTGTAAGATGGAGTGAAGTGCGGTAGCCGCGGATGCATCAGGACGGGTCTTGTCGGCCGCGGTGGCCAATCCCACTAAAACTTGAGAGCGCCTGACTCGACCTGTCGAGGTGTCGTTGACCCAACCTCATCTGTTTCTTCTCACATGTCCAGGCTCATGTCCATGCCTCGTGTTCACGAGCTCAGCCCATCGACGCACATTGCATGGATGTCGCTTTCGTCATTGGTCTTTTACGCATGCGGCTGCACTATGACCAAACGCAGGCCTGGCGATACCGTATTTGATCTCGGTGCCCACCAACGATGTGGCTCAAGCTGTGCAAGGTCAGCGGCTGTTCCCCTTCTGTAGGCTTGGGTTGGGCAAGGTCGCAAGGGGCTGTTGGTGCAACAAGGAACAAGGGGAGACGGACAAAGACTGCGAGTGGCTTGGCTTATTAGCTGTCGGTCATGGACTTTTCTCTTCACTCTTGTTTCCTCTTCTCGGTGGAGGCCTTTTCAGTGGAAACGGTGCGCCATGAGTGACTGGTCACTGAATCAATCATATGGGCTTGCGAATCAGGCTGGCAACAGAGTCGACTTGTCGCATTTAGTGGCCAGGGCACTGTCCATGGGTTCGTCAAGGGTCCATTCAGGTCAGATACAGATGGATCTCAAGGGTTGAGGCAGGATTTGTCGCGATACTTGGGCACATTTTGGTTGTTTTTAGGAGCAGGAAAATCAAACACACAGAAATGAAGTCAACTTAGACTCGAGCGTACTTGGCCTTTTATAATCAAGTCCCGCCACGGCGTTGCGCCTTCCTTTTGAGACGCCGGGGATGTTGCAGGCATGCACAATGAGCTGGCAGTTCCTAACTGGGGCCCACTCATGATAGCTTGAATAATGGCTTTTAAGCTTGGCTTGGATTGGTATTGATGCTAATGGATACTCATAACATAACTACCCAAGTCATTAAAGATAATTAAGGAATAATAACATAATAATTGGCAAATTATTATGCGCGCCTTGGAGTAAACAAGCCGTTCTTGATACTCGATACTCCAGTATTTGCACTTTAACATACGCAGGGCAGCTTACACGGCAGAATGACAACCGAGAGGGTCCACCCACACGTTAGACACCCGGGATGACGATCGGTTCCCCAGGACGACTCCTTCAACAGAATCAAAATCCACTTGTTGCACTTTTACCCATTGAGACGCGCTATTTCTCAATTCATACTATAATGCTTTTTACATGGAAGTTTCTACCTCGATTACTGTGTAGTCAATCGCGCGCTATTGCCAGAAAGACCCCAATCCACAGTCGGCCAAGCTTATTGTTCTCCGTCAATCGCTCCATGAGCAACATCTCACAACAAATGGATTCAACACCAAAACCCCGTGTCGCTGTGCTTTACCAAGGCCTTGATCCTCCTGTCATCAATGGCATTCGAAAGCCAAAGAAACCCGGAGGTGAATTGATCAAATTCCGCCCGAGTGGCCACCATTTGCTGATATTGGGCTTTTTAGGTTATCTTGATTCAGGTGCCGATATCGCTTACACGTTGAGCCAGTCTCCTGATATTGAGATTGTCTGCCCCGGCAATGATCTGAAACCAGAAGACCAAGCTGGATGGTCTTTCCCTGACACCGAAGATGGAATCATGGCAGCAATCGAAAAGGGCGCTACTTACCTATGGGCCAATACCATTCTCTTCGCAGCGCATCCTCTCCAAACCTCTGCACGCATCGCTGAGCATCAGGATCGCATCAGGGTCGTCTGCCAGGGTCCTTTGATTGTCGAAAGGTACGATGACAAGGAATTCGTCAATGATCTACTCCGCAACATTGGCGGCTTCACAATGCCGCGCTCATGGACCATCAATGAGAGCCCCAATGTCGAACAAGACATTCAACAACTTAACCTCCCGTTCCCAGTGGTAGCAAAGCCAATCCGAGGTCGTGGTAGTCACGGCGTGCGCGTCTGTCACGATTCTCAAGAGCTTGCTGATCACGCCCGATCACTGTTCAAAGAGTCGCCAGCTATCATGCTGGAAGAGTTTCTATCAGGCGAGGAGGCGACGGTTACTGTGATGCCACCTGGTCCTGGCAGAGACAACTACTGGGCATTGCCAGTTGTTACCCGGTTCAATCATGTCGACGGCGTTGCACCGTACAATGGAACTGTCGCCGTCACCGCAAACTCGCGAGCCATTACAGCTGACGAGGGCAATGAGCCGACGTACCAGCAGGTAGCAGCGGAGTGCGAGAGGGCGGCCCGAGAGCTCGGGGTAACTGCTCCGATCCGAATCGATGTCCGAAGATTCAAAGACTCGGCCGACTCCAAGTTTGCCTTGTTTGACGTGAATATGAAGCCGGTTTGTTTCTCCATTTGACCAGACCTAAATTATTAAACAACCGGCTGACCGCTTTCTTTACCGCAGAACATGACAGGGCCTGGCCGGCCGGGTCGCGAAGATCAAGCCAGTTTGACCCTGCTTGGCGGTGCAGCATTGGGCTGGGACTACCAAGAACTTCTAAGGCGCATCCTGAGCACTTCCTCAACATTGAGAACTCTCCGAGGCTTGAAACCACGAGAAATGGTGTAATAAGGAAGACGTGATGGTTGCCCGGACAGAAGCAAGCAATGTTAGCAACTATCTCCGGCGCTAGGCGCCTCTGACTCGGGTGGCTTACAGATCGGCTCTGCGCGACTGGGATAGGGACTGGGACTGGGGAAGGGAAGAGCGCATCGGGTCTTTTTTTGTGTCGGGGATTCGGGGGTATAAAATTCCGCCTCGAACATGCTATTTTGCCATGGCTTGACCGAGTCGGCGGAATGAGCGTTCTGGACTCGAGATCGGCTTTGTCCCTCCATCATCCTCTGTAATCGTGGATGCACGGCCTTGAAGTGTCCTGGCCTCATTTCCTCGCCTCGCTGCTCTCGCGCGTGACCATTCGACCCTGAAGTTGGCCTCGATCGCTCTCTCTCTAGGCTCGGCTTCCCGCTTCATTTCTCCCCCATGCGCCGTTGCTCGCTCCACCACGTCCACGCTCCACACTCTCGCTGTCCTCGGAACAGCCATTCCTCGCGTCTTTGTCTTTGTTAGACTTCTGGTGCCTCTACGTATCCAACGCGACCGTTCCTTCCTTCGATAGCAATCGGAAACCCCTTCGAAACCCGGCCCTCGAGCCATCGCTTCTCATGTACTGATGGAGGATGACGAGTATACGACCAGCAAAATGGGGGAAATCAAGCTCGAGGAGGGCGCGAACGGCGCGCGCGTGAAGCAGGAGGGCAGCGCTTCCATGACCACTACCAATGATAGCCACGACGGATCCCGATCGCCAACCGCGTCACACGATGGTGTCAAGTCGCGCAGCGAAAGCGCGGACACGCCGAGCTCGACCAAGCCTCCAAGGTTGTCTCGAAAAGTCTCCCAGAAATTGGCCGCCACCCGCGAACCCGCTCTTTTCGACCACCTCCCGGACGTCACCACCGAGTCCTACAACTTCTTCCAGGTCATACCCGACTGTCTTTACGGCTCAAAGCACCTCGGATCTACAGATAACGACTCCCTGGACTGCGAGTGTCGAGAGGAATGGCGTATGATTGCAACTATTTCGGCGGTGAATGATTCATGATTGTGCTAATTGGCATTTCTAGGCGATGGCGAGAACCTTGCTTGTGGCGAGGATTCGGATTGCATCAACCGAGCGACCAAGATGGAGTGCAGCGCCGAGGCTGGAAATTGTGGAGGCGGCTGCCAAAACCAGCGATTCCAGCGCAAGCAATACGCCAATGTGTCTGTCATCAAGACCGAGAAGAAGGGATTTGGTCTTCGAGCGGATGCGGATCTGCAGCCTAACGACTTTGTCTATGAGTACATCGGCGAGGTGATCAACGAGCCGACTTTCCGGCGTCGTATGCTTCAGTACGATGAAGAGGGTATCAAGCACTTCTACTTTATGTCTCTGAACAAGAGCGAATTTGTGGATGCAACCAAGAAGGGAAACCTGGGTCGCTTCTGCAATCACTCGTGCAACCCCAACTGCTATGTGGACAAGTGGGTGGTTGGAGACAAGCTTCGGATGGGCATCTTCACATTACGCAAGATCCAGTCTGGCGAAGAATTGGTCTTCAACTACAACGTCGATCGATATGGCGCTGATCCTCAACCCTGTTACTGCGGCGAACCAAACTGCGTGGGCTTCATCGGCGGCAAGACACAAACTGAGCGCGCCACTAAACTACCAACCGCCACAGTCGAGGCTCTTGGTATTGATGGCGGTGACGGTTGGGACACGTCGGTTGCAAAGAAGCCTCGGAAGAAGAAGCCTGACGAGGACGACGAGGAATACGTCAACAGCATACAGCCGCGTAACCTCAGCGAAGACGACGCCCGAAAGGTCATGGCTACCCTTATGCAGTGCAAGGAGAAGTGGATCGCCGTCAAGCTCCTCGAACGTATTGAGCGATGCGATGATGAGCGTGTCATCCACTGTGTCATGCGGATGCACGCCTACCAGATTCTCAAGACAGCACTCAACACCTTCCTTGACGATCACAACCTTGTCATTCAGATCCTGACAATTCTTGACAAGTTCCCTCGCTTGACGAGGAACAAGATTCAGGACTCCAAGATCGAGGCGACAGTTGAAGGCTTGACACACTCCGACCATGAAGACGTGGCGACCCGGTCCAAGAAGCTCCTCGATGAATGGAGCAAGTTGGAGGTGGGCTACCGAATTCGACGACGGAAGTTTGATCCCAATGCGCCCACTGCTAACTCCTTTGAGGAGCGCAGGGGAGCGGGCCGAGAGGATGAGGCAGCCCAGTCGACATCCAAGACTACATCGCCATTCAACAACGTTGAAGTGCCAAAGGGTCCTCGGAATAGTGTGCCCCAGAGGAACAATGCCTTCTTCCACAATGGCGGACGCCCGCGACGAGCGCCCTTCAACGCACCGCTACCTCGGGGGTGGTTCACAGCCAAGGATGCTGCGGGTAACACCTACTTCTATAACAAGCAGGGGGTTACTACTTGGCAGAAGCCGACCCAGCCAGCTGGAGAGTCAGTTGCAAAGGCACCATCCAAAGCCATGAAGGAGCAATTGGCTATCCAGAGCATCATCGATCAAGTCACAGAGAAGGGGACACCGAAACATCCCACAGTCTCAACACCCAAAGCCGCTGAAACCCCGACCAAAGAACCCAAGCCGGAGAAGTGGCGATCTCTCCCAATCGAAAAGCAAATGAAGATTTATGAGAATACGGTATGTTCGCCAAAAGAGTTGATATAGGTCTCTTCTAACAACGTACAGCTATTCCCTCATATCAAGCATGTCCTCGACAAATTCCATCACAAACTTCCTAAGGAGGAGCTCAAGCGGCTAGGCAAAGATATTGCCAAGAAGCTTGTCGCTTCTGATTATAAGAATAATCGAGTGGGCGATCCCAGCTCACCACTCAGTGACAAGCAGGCCAAGAAGATGAGGAAGTTTGTCAATGACTTTTTGGACCGCGCCGTGGAGAAATACGGTGAGCATCAGAAACGCAAGGCCGCTCGAGCGTCGCAAAAGGAGACCAATGATGGCGAAGGCCTTGACGAAAGGGCAGATCGCAATGGAGGTTCTGCTGCTGACAGACCGGCTGGCTCTTCCCACGCAAAGGACGACGTGCCTATGGCGGACGAGTTGGACGAGGCTGCGTTGTCAGACAATGATGGTCCCAGATCCTCGACCAGCCCTGATCGTAAACGGAAGCGGGAAGTTGAAGTTGAGGCGTCAGGATCCCCGTCTCTCGCTTCATCCGAGGGCCCGACAGTAAAGAGGGTGAGGGAGGACGAGATGGATGAACCTAGCCCACCACCACCTCCTCCCCCTCCTCCGCAATCAGCCATGGAGAATGTCATGACTGCTGAACAGCAGGCCCTCCGTGAGCAGGAGGAGGCCCTCGTGAGGGAAAACGAGGAGGCACAGAGACTCGAAGATGAAGCCAACCGCACCAAGTGCACGGAAGATGCCACAAGGGGCGCCGAGAAGGACGCACCGCTTGCTTCGAACGAGCCATCCCAGCTGAGCCATGAAGCCCAGGGATCGGCGTAACGGAGACAACTGCATGACGGACGAGCAGAATGAGGCTACAGAACAGGAGTTGCGGGGCTATTTGAGAGGTCAAACTGCGGTTACCTAGGAGCACTAATGGAGCTGGTTTGGGGCATAATTCTATCTGCATTTCAGGAGTTTGAGGGCCAATACCAGGCGAGTTGTACCACCATTACTATATAAAAGGCAGGCAATCTTTTTGCACCTTTCGTCCACGGGTCACTCACGAGGGAGGAGACTTCGACATTTGTTATACATGCCACGCACGTCCTTGTCTGATTGGGGACTATTACCGAAACGGCGCATTCTGGTGTTGCGGGAAGAACGAACATTACTCGTGTACATGCTATTTGCGGGGACTACGAACTGGCGAATTGGGAATAGGCTGGGGACCAAACATTTGGGTGGGCTTTTTATTGTGAGGATGATCCTGGGATGGTTGGCGTTCACCATGGGCGAGGCGACAGAGGAGGACGAATCATATACCCCCTGTATCATTAACGCATGTACGCAATCTGCACACGTCTTTGAAGGTATCGGGAGTGTGCAATGCAGGTATTTGAAGAGAAACACATGTTCAATGCTATGCTCAAGCTGTCCCGTCAAAAGCGCCATACGCCGTACGAATAAGATGCTCCATGCTGGCCCATCCCCAACCAAGCTTATATCAATGTGTCAAACAACCGTCTCTGCGCCGATCTCTTATATAATTTCTTAATCCTCGTCGTCAGAGGAATCGTCACCCTTCCGCCTCTTCTTCCCTGTCACAGGGACAATATCTTCCTTCTTCTTAAACACATAACTCCTCGACGCCCTCTCCTCACCCTTCCACCCACTCTCACTTATCTCCCCCTTTGCGTTCCTCACGACACCCAACGTCCGCGCATGCCTGTACCCGGGATACGCGCGCGCCTGGAAGCGAAAACTGCGCTCGACCTGGAGCCCGGCGTGGCGCGCGAGGTCGCGGACGTTCCAGAGGGTGTAGGGCTCGCCCTCGAAGAGCGTGACGACGATTGCGGCGCCGGGAGCGAGGGCGGGGATGGCGCGCTCGAAGAATGACACGAGGAGGGATTGGTTGTAGCGCACTTGGCGGTTGACGTCGGTCGACTTGCCGCCGACGTGGGGGAAGTTGAAGATGATGCGGTCGAACCCGGCGGACCGCGTGAGGGGGGCGGGGAGCTTGGTCGCGTCGATGTTGTAGAGGAGTTTGTTATTTGGGGTGAGTTTGCGCTTGCGCCTGGGGGGTTGGTCTGGATCGTCCGAGTCGTAGTAGTCGTCTTCCTCGTTGTCGCTATCTTGATCGGAGCCCTGGCTATCGTTCTCATCGTCGCCGTCGTTTTCGCCGTCCTCGGTAGGCTTTGTAGAAGCTTCTTTATCTTCCTCGTCGGCCTTGGCGGTCTTGGGAGCCTCGCCGCGAATTACAGCGATGTTGCCGTCAACATGAGGGTACTTGGCTTGAAGCTCGTCGACATCCTTCTCCAGGACAGTCGCAGTGACATTGGCACAGCCATGATGCTGAATAATGGACGCGGCGAAGCTCAGGTCACCCTCGCCGATGAGCAGGATGCGGTGATGAGGCTCAAAGGGTATCGTGGGCTTCTCGTCGACCTGGCGCTGCTGCTTACTCTTTCCCTTCTTAGGGCCATTGTGGGCCTTTTGCTGCTCCTGTTTGTGCTGCTGCGGATGCTTCTTAGGCCCCTTGGCCTGCGCATTCTGATGCGACAGCTTCCGCTTCTTTCCCATGGTCACGCGCACGCGGTGACTTGATATCACAGGATGGAAGTGAGGTTGTGTTGCACGTGAGGGCGGGCGGTCAACTTTTTTTTTTTCTTTAATCCGTTTAATCCGGATCGGGGAAGTGTGATTGGTCGCAGGCACCGTTGCTAACATTTTTAGCTCCCCCGGCCCCTCGGGAAGCGCCCACAGCGTAGCCTTGCCTTGCGAAATGCGGAGCGCCGCACGTGGGTAGGGGGTGTACCTGGTGGTTCAGGGTACGTGACATTTATGACGACGTGAGATGAGAGAAGCGTGAGTAAAGACGAGACGCGAGGGATTGGAGATGGGATCAAGATTAGATGATCATATATGCAATGCACACAATCTTAGTTGCACTACGTGTATGCGTCAGGTATGGTTCCTCGTAGTGAGGTGACAGGCTCGTACATTAGCACCATCAAGTCCCGACATAATCTCCGTTGATGAGTGGAGGTTGCAACGTCGTCAGGTAATTCATGCAGCGTCGTATAAAGCGCAACGACCCGAAGAGACTTTAAAACTGACATACTCATTCACGGCCTTATTTGGAATGATTTGAAAGTATGTTGGACCTCTATGCATCACAATGCCATTGACGCGCTTGAGTTGAGCCTGCATTGATTGGTATGCATCCATCCATCATCAATCTGCAGTGCATTCTGCAACCGGGATGAAACTACTGGTCACTGACAAAAGGAGGAATATCTTGGAGCAACAGCACAACCGCAAACGCATTCACCGAAACTGATCATTCTTATCTGAATAGGAACAATACAGACAAGACAACACCGCATCTTGTCCGAATGTCCGAAGGCCGTGCAACAACTGGTGGTGTGTGCCCAACCGGATCCACCGCCGTCAGGAAACAGGACGAACAGCTGTTACAAAGGTACGGTGTAGCGGTCCCGGGTCTGGCCTGGGTAGGGTAGGGTAGGTACAGTTTGTATACGTAGCATTCTCATGCGGCCGAGTGCGCAGATTCAGCAACCAGATCTCGTGCGAGTGAATGAGTGACGGTCAAGGGCCGCCCAACCCCAGTATGAGCCGATTTTTACCGTGACGAAGCTGCGTCTAATAAAAAGACGGCTTCAAGCGCCACTAGTAGGGGCGGCTTTGTTGGGTCATGCTGTAAATGACCTTGAACTTGAGTTGTTTGCCTTTTCCCCTCAATGACTCGAGCCAATCCGTTTGTTCATTGTGACTACCTGCATTCCTGCATCAACAGATCTGCCACCGCGGCAAACGTGTGCAGTATTTACCCTTTGTAGACAGTCCGAGAGAGGAAAAAAAAAACAAGCATCCCTACCGAGAGCATCCGGAGATGCCCTTGTGCCTCCAAGAATGGAGACCCTGATGAGAGACAGGGGTCACAAAGCCGCGGTGGTCGGAAAATCGTGGTGGCCGGGCCAATCAGGGGACCACCAAGTGAGCCAAAACGGCTAGCGCCGCTGAAGTACATCTCTGAGTGGGATGGCGGCGGCAGGGTGCCCGTCGTTTGGGGGACCTGTTCCAGTGGGCTTACAGCGGACTTACTGGGGTCCTGCAGTGCAAGAGCTGGGTCCCCACTCCCGTCTCCAGGGTCATCAATCAGCGTTGGCGCGCTGGCACCCGCTGGCAGTGCCCGTCACTGGCGGCCGGACCAGATTATTGGGGATCCATTTGACTGAGATGGAGCGAAAAAGGGTTACCAGACACTCGAGGCGCTTTCCGTCTCATTGAACCTCCTTCACTTCCACCAACAACCGCAAACAACAGGTCGACTTCAAACACATCATCACCACCGTCATCGTCGACGTGCTATCACAGTACTCAGCACGTTTACGCGTTTGGTCGTTTTTTCCCCTTCTGCTCGTCGTTCGGCCGCGCGCTGTCTTTGTTTCTGCCGCCCGCCGATTGGCGAAAACTTCTGACCTATACGTACCCATACCCTTTCTCAGATTCTCGTCACTTTCAACATCCATCCAAATCCCGTAATACTCAGATCACTTGCACTTGCACCAGCTCTCGCCGCGCCCTTTTCACTATAGCGCGCTCATGTCAATCTCTGCTTCCCTCGTCTTCACTTGATCAGAAAAGCTCTTTATCGCGGATAAGTCACGCACGTCTCGTTTTCACACCTTACTTGACCCCCCCCTGCCGCCTGGCGCGTGGCACATTCTTACCTTTGGTCTCTCTCTCATCTCTCACACACCCCCAAAAACCTGTCACTCGACCCGCTACTCCAGAGCATTCACCTTTACCTGCACCCACCTACCTACATGTACATGATCCATCACGTCCATCATGGCTGAGATCGGATCTCCCGCGAGGGAACCTTCCACCCGCGGCCGCGGTCGTGGTGGAAGAGGTCGCGGTGGACGAGGCAGAGGTGGTGGCAGAGGAGGCTCTACTGCTGCCGTGTCCAAGGCCGCTGCCACAAAGCCCGGCCGTGGCGGATCACGAAGAGGAAGAGCCAAGAACTTTTCCGACTCGCGTGTCCAAGCTGCCTACGAGCGTCAAAGACACCTCAAGCACACATATTCAGTCATCGCCCAGGCTCTCAGACCCGCCCTGTCTGAATTCGCTGAGCGCGCTATTGAGGAGGCCATCCAACATCCCGAGAAGTGCAAACACTACAGTGCTTTCGCCCCTGCCATTCTTCAGCTGAGGCAGAATCTCGACACCAAGCTTGCTGAGCACAAGCGACGTCTTGACAAGGACCTCGAGCTTGCCGAGCATCTGTTCAACGCCGACAACTACGTGGCCGAGCAGGAGTTCAAGGTACGTTTTCGCTTCTGCTCCCGGCCTGACGTTGGTCCCCGGCGGAGATTTCCCTGATGATCTTGGCATCCATTGTACTAACCAACCCCCACAGAATGGCTTTGAAGAGATTGAGGAGCAATTCTACGAGGGCACAGAGAACCGCTTACGCATTATTGACTCTCTTGCTAAGAAGGGATTGCCTGTTGATGTAAGTCGGAAATTTCTCTTGGTCACCAATTTCATCCCTACTCTGCCACTCATCACAAGATCCATTCCCACCCGCTGCGGTAATTGGTGGTGCAACTGCTGACACATCTCACTCAAGATTGTCGATGAACAGTATGAGTACAAGGTCATCTCGGATGAGCACTTCGACAACGAGTTTGGCATTTATGAGGCCTACAAAGATGGCCATCTCGTCCCCTACCCCTCTCGTGTCGAAGGTACCGAGATGTGGCAAAAGGCACGCGACGCCGAGGCTGCCATCGCCGCCGCTGCTGCCGCCGCTCCTACTAAGGGCCGTGGTCGCCGTGGTATCAACAAGCGAAGGGCACAGGAACAGCCTGAAGGCCAGCCAACTCCCAAGAAGAACACGAGAAGCTCAGCTTCTCCTGCGATTCCCCCTCCAGCACCCGCCAAGGGTCTTCTCGCTTCCGCCGCGGAAGTTGAGGCTACCCCAACAGGAACACCGCCTGAGTCTGACTCGCCTCCTGCGTCTCCTGAGCCTGCTGCGCTCCGAAATGGTATGCCACCTCCCGCTGCCATTGCTACTGCCATTTCCAAGGCCCAGAATGCTACCAAGCTTTCCGCTCGCGAGAAGAGCCCTCCATTGCCCAAGGGTATTGCGGAGGCTGATGAGTATGGTTTCCGAATCTACAATCAACGACCATCGATGCGGGAGAAGGGCATTAACAGTCGTATCCTCACTCCTCACAATGACTATTTCGACGATTGGCAGATCGGCTTCAGAGATACTACCAATGATGCCACCAAGGGCCACACTCGTGCCAAGCGCGGCAAGTACCTCGATGGTCCCAACAGCAACGGCTTCCATTTCGACATATGGTGTGCCGGCTATGACTATTCGGCCTTGACTCCCGAGGACTTTGATCAAGACATGGTCAAGCTATATGGTGTCCATCCCAGATATGGCATCATCTTGCCCAACAGTGTCCATCCCAACATCCCGAAGACGCCACACGTCATACCTGGCAAGCCTGTTGTCTACATCGCGAACCCTTCCGGCAGAGTCTCACATGCCTCTCGCTCTTTCCTCAAGACTGTCAACCATCGCCGTACTGAGGATGCGCCCTGGCGTACCAAGGTTGGAGCCTCAATGAGACGCTTCTGCAAGCTTGAAGAGATCCAGGAGGATGACATTGACATCGCCGAATACGTCCGTTCTGACGAGGAACTTCGAAGCAAGTCCTTGGGCACTGCCATCAAGGAGTTGGAGGCTAGACCTGTTGTCAGCGAGATGCCATCTGAGGAAGAGGAGTCCGAGGAAGAGGAGGAGTCTGCTCCTCAACCCGAAGCTGGATTTACCGACCTCTCTGTTCTCACCTATGCCAGCGCTTTCCTGGAAGCTCAGGAATCGAACAAGGCCCCCAAGCCCGCACCCAAGCCCGCTCGTTATGACGCGATCCGTGATGTCTTTACCGACTCGAAGCCTGCCGCTGCTCCTCAGCCCGAACCTAGCTCCAGCACCGGCCTTGACCTCTTGGCTGAGCTGAGCAGTGTTGTGAGCATCTCTAACCAGCCTGCTCCCAGCAGAGAGATGATCCAAGCCCAGGAGGACCTCGCGGCTCCCGAGTCTGTCATGGCCTACGAGCCCGCTCCTATCCATGAGCCCGTACCCATGCATGAGCCTATGGTTATCCAAGACCAGCCGCCTTATCCTGATGCCAGTATCAACGGCGCTGCTCCCACACAGGTAGGCCCTCACGCCATGCACGAAGTCGACCCCCGAAGCTCGCTTCCTCGAAGCAATGAACTCCCACCTGTCACTCCAAGCCAGGTTCCCGTGGATCCCCGATACGGTCCCGTCGACGTTCCTCAAGGCTACCTGCACCAACCCCGTGCACAGCCGCCGATGCAACCTGGCGGCCCGGTGCATGGCCATCCTGGGGAAACCATGCCCTATCCCACCATACATGAACACGCTGTGCCACAGCATCAGCCGGTGCGACCTTCTGAGTACGCACCTCACCCACCTCCAGGACACCCGGCTCAGGACCAGGGAGCGTACCTTTCGCACAGTGGCTACGCGAACCCATCGAACCCAGACCACCGTGATAGTCATATGGCTGCCGGACGTCCCATCGACCCGGGATACCCTCCTCGCCGCATGAGTGGTTACGCTGCCGAGGCCCCAAGCTACTCTCGCGCGTACTGGTCGCAACCCCCTCAAGGACCCCCTCCTGGTCCCTCCGGCGCGCCAGTCCAGCCTGTGTCGGCTCCAGGCCCAGGACCTTCTCACTATCACTCACCCGCCCCACCTGCAGCTCGAATCCCATTCTCTCACAATGCCAGCACTGATCCTCTACCTCCTCTGCGACCGCCGCGAGGACGTACCCAGTCTATCCAAGATGAGGGTCTGCTCGAGCCCAGTCTACGATCTGCTGGCCATGGTAACATGGGGAACTCGTATTACCCTCCAGGTCCTCCTCGCAACTACCATCGAGGCTATCCAGGCCCTGAGCAGCACGCGCCGCTGCAGCCGATCGCGACTGATCGTATTCTGCCAAACCCGCAGACCACGGGGCAGGGATATATCACCTCGCCTCACCAGGGCTTTGCACACCAGGTCCTGTCTCCAACGTATGCGAATCCCCCTCCCATGCCTCCACATATGGCTCAAAGCCCGCAAGACAATTCTCAGGGTCTTCCCAACCCTCATCGTCATCGATCCACCCCTTCCGGGTCATCTGATGCCGGGAACAAGTACCGAAAGCTCCAGCCAGCTCCTGTCCCTGCGCATCGAGCCTGGCCTAACAAGCCCGAGCTCAAGACGATCCCGTACGACCACAAAGAGACAGGACTAGCGGCAGCCCTCCCCAGCTCCGGTCCTACCCAGATCCGAGGTTGGAACGTCAACCAGCCACGCAAGCGAGGTAAGGCGGACAAGAACGAACGTGGAGAGCTAGGCCAAGATCAAGACGCCCGATAGGGTGGTGGCAGTTCTTCCTCAACGCCATCTCAACAAGCTCTACCCACCAAGACTTCCTTCAAGTCTGTCCGGTTTGCTAAGCCACTCATTGGTCTCCCACCTCTGGCCCCGAAGTCCAAGAACAAAGATACTGCTGCCCAGCCTTATTCGATCCTCAAAGCGGAAGAGAAGTCTACGAAGAAGTCTGCGAAGAAGACTGCGGAGAAGCCCGCGAAGAAGGCCGTGAAGAAGTCTGTGGACGAGTCTGAGGACGAGTACATGGAGGAGCCTGTGGACAAGCCCACGGCCAAGCCTGCAGACACCAATGGCTCATTCATCTCCAAGGACAATGTGTTGTCCGATTCTGAAGCCAACCCGAACAAGCGACGCCTGCGACCTAGAAAACGCAAGAACACAGAGACGGAGCCAGTCGAGGCTGACGTTCCACGTGTGGCCAAGAAGCCAAGAACCACGAAGGCCGCCAAGTCCAAGACTACGGAACAAGCCCCTGCCAGCACTGAAGTTCAGCCCACTGCAAAGAAACCCAGAGCTACCAAGGCGGCGAAGTCCAAGAACGCAACCATCAAGACCACTGCCTCTCATGTCACTGACGAATCCCTCAAGAACGTGGAGGCTTCCACTGAGGCTGACCTTCCCAAGGAGACCCATGTCAACAGAGATGAGTCGACTGCCATCAAGGCCAACACCGACGAGGACGAGCCTTGAACTCAATCTCGAAAAGAAATGGCGATGAATATCATTCATCCTGGCTGAGAGCTACTCTCTTTAATGCCATTGCAGCACAGCTGCTATGATACCCTTGTTTTTATTTCATCAACGATGATTCTCAAACCCCAGCACCAGGACGAAAGAGGATCAGAATCGGAATTGGAGGCATGGTCCTCCTCCGTTCGCATCGGCGGCGTTAGGCGAACCAACCCCCTGGCCACAGCACACACCAGGGACGGATGATTTGCGTGTTATTCTTGTTTCCGTTTACCATATTCCCCGTCAGTTTCCCCCAACTAATTTGCTCTCGTCGACGCTGGCTTCATTTGGCGGCACATTATAGTGCTGAACGCACTGAGGGAGGTTGAAAGCGGCTACATGTTGCCTGGTCTACAGGACTTGCCAACTTCCCCATCGTGTTCTTGTGTAAGAGTTACTTGGTTGCGGAAACAGAGAAAGGCATCAAAGGGATGCTTCAGCAAGAGGACAGCCCGAGTGGTGTCCTACATGCAATATAAAAAGGGGACTCGCATTTGTTTTTTGGAAGGGGAGGGGGATATACCGAGGACGATATACGAAGGTCGTGGAGGGACGCCCGTATATAGCCATAGCCAAGCAGCAAAAATCGACGTGCATTAACTGATAGTGTAACGTGAACAAGTGTATCATAGAGTCACACAATTTGATTGTAGCCGCGTAGGCAACAGCAAAGTAGTAGCATTGGGACGAATCAATCCCTGGTTAGCCGTGAAACGTGAAACGTAGTGCTGTGGTAGGTGAGCAAGTAGTGGTCTGTTCAAGTTTGATCACAATTGTGATGATCCAGGAGAGTGATACGAGCTTTGAAGGTCCCTTTTCAAGATTCCATGGGCGTGGTATGTCTTTTGATTTAATGTACAAAAAGGTATCATCTATCCACCTCCCCCTTGACATCCATCCCAAACATCACCATCAAGATCAAGTAAATTAGCGCAAAAAAGCAGAACCTTTGCCCATCCCCTTTCCTGATCCCAAGAAATCTACTAGTCTTTGCGACGTGTCACTTCCTCTAACTGGGTCTGTCGGCGAGGCTGATACCTTTTGCATGACAAGTTCCCCGTCGTGCCTAGTCTACCGTCTCCAGTTTGCACCCGCGTTGCCGGGGTTCGCTGGTGCCTCCTGGGCAGGCTGCTCAGCCGTTGCTGCTGCGGGTTGCGGTGCTGCCTGCTGGGAGACTTGTTGAGGGTCCTGCTGAGGAGCCTGCGCAGGGCTGAACTGTTGCGTAGGGTCGGTCATGGCGGCGTCCTGCATGGCAAGGGCCATACCGTTCTGAAGCCCACCGGGGATCATTATGGGATTGTTGTGGTGAGGCAGAGCGCCCATGGCAGTTGGGTCGATGCCCATGGGTAGGGCATCCATGCCTGTGGGAAGCATCATGGGGGCGCCACCGTTGGGCACCTGGTGATCGGTGAGGAGTCCGGAGCCGAGGGAGCCCTCGGGGTGCAGAGGGTACATGAGGCCCTCCATGGTGTTACCGTCAAAGACGACCATGTTCTGGATGGGCTGCTGCGTCTGGCCGAGCACATTAATAACATCCTGAGCGAGCTGGCCACCGAGAATGGCGGCGACAGGAGAGATCTCGCTGACGAGGTTCTGGAGGAAGCTGCGCAGAAACTCTGGACGGAGGGTCTCGCTGGGTAGGCCGAGGGCCTTGTGCTTTTGGGTGGCAATCTGCGTGAACATCTTAAGGTCATCGCGACTGCTGGGGACGCGGCCGCCCTGGATCTGCATAAACTCCCATAGGGCGCGGAGACAGGAGAGTGCAGGGGTCACGCTCTTGAGTCGTCGGCGGGACTGTGTGTATTCCTCGGGAAGGCCGCCAACGTCGCTGGCGAGGAACCATGTGGAATAGAGCTCCCGCTTGGTGACAGACTCGATTGTCTTGGGGCCTTCCTTGCGGGTCTGGACGTCGACGATGGTGCGAGTGCGTGTCTCGGGGCCAGGGACGGTTGGTACGTTTCCGAGATCACGCTGGATGACGTAGTCATGCTCGATGAGATCGCTAAAGATGAATCCGTAGAGGCCGTGGCAACCAGCGGCGTAGAATGCCTTACAGTTCAGGCGGGTGGCGGTGTTGATGATGTTGAATGACTCGGGGTCAAGGTCAGTGGCAATAACGATGTCGAAGCCAGCAAAGTAACTGGGTCCCTTTGTCTTGACGCCTTCTGTGTCGACATGGACACGAACGCGAGGGTTGAGCTTCTGGAGGGCGGCACTCGCAGCCTGGGCACGGTTCTGGCCGATGATGCTGTCATCATCAGAGAGGAAGAACTGGGAGCCGCGATCGGCTTCGGTGACAACGGCGCCGTCCAGGAGAGTGAGAGAGCCAATGCCAGCGAGGACAAGGTTCTTTGCGATCTCGTTGGCGAGAGCCTTGATGGTGATGAGGAGAATGTTTGCGCTTTGAATCTTGGCCTGGGCGGCCATGCCCCAGAGGCGGATCTGGCGATCATAGAGAGCAATCTCATCTGAATATGTTAGAGCTGGCGCATATGAGATTTGCTGGCGCGAGACTTACCAGCACTGACCGTGGCAGGTGGCGGTGCCACAGGGACACCAAAGGCGTGAGGTTGGCCGTTTGGCATAGTCATTCCAGGCTGCATCATGAAGGCTGAGGGGTCTGCTAGAGGCATCTGCATCGCGGCGGCCAACATGGTGGGATCCGCCATGAGTGAGGGATCAGGCATCATGCCAGCCGTGGCTTCGGGGTTCATTGAGCTGAGGAGATGATCTGGTAGCTGAGGAATGGCGTTGCCGTTGCCGTTGAGGTTGGCGCCAGCGTCGATGGGAGGCATCGCAGCGGCCGCGCTGGCATCTGGGAGCTGCTGAACCTGAGGCGCAACCTGAGGCTGGCCTTGATTCTGGGTTGAGGCGTCCATCGGAAGAGACTCTGCGCGGGAGGGGGAGAGGACAGGAGAGTGAGATTGATGAGTAGACGGAGGCAGAAGATGCCCTTGTCGTTGCCCGCGATGTTGGCGCAAGGCTGCGAAGCTACCGAGCAAAGTCGCAAGAGGTTGTTATTGGTGAGATGAGGCGAAACGCGCGTGACAAGGAATGCCCAGCCCGCTGGGTTATAAGCAGCTCTTGCGATCAGCCCAAGACCCTCATGCGCCGTTTACTGCTGAGGAGAAGGCAGGTATCCGAGATTGTAGGCGTAAACGAGGTGCGCCTCTTGGTGTTTGTTTGCTTGCTTGTGGACGTGACCTTTTTTAGTGATGTGATATCATATATCGAATCTCGGAGGATGGTAGGTGCCTTTCAAGGTCGCAAGCTGGGAGTGAAGTTTACTGAGCTGGCCGTTGAGGAAGTACTTCTGATTGGTCAAAATAAATTGTTAGTGGGATCGCCTGTGCGGCTGCGTGTGGGGGGGGACAAACGCGCCCTGGGGAACGGGCCAAGGGGGGTACATTGAACAGAGAAAGTTGGATGTGAATATGGGTGTATTCTATAGGTTGAATCTCATATGGCACTCACGGCTACTTGCAGTCTGTTCTCACAGTGTTTCTCAGTTGGTGGTGATTTGCTTACAGCTCGCATGATGAAGCGGTTAGGTACCGGGGAGAGGGAACCGGCATGGCGGTACCTGGCAGTCCAGTCACGTGTGACAAGCGCGGATGCACCTCTCGACCTATGGATTCGTAGACTGTAAACCAAGACCGAGACAAGCAAACACAGGCTCTCAGCTAATGAGTGAGCTGTGCTGGCACGGGAAGGCTTGCTGCACTGCTTCTATAATAAGACGCCGGGAAAGCAAGACTTGGCGAACGAGAGCAACGGGTTGTGCTATGCAGGTAGTCTTGCACAGCACATAGCGTCTTGCAAATCGGGTGCTCCAAAGGACCAGTCCGGTCTAGACGTTGCACGCCATTCGGCTGAGTGAAAAGATACCTACACACCGCAAGAGTGACAGGGCTTACAGCATCTGCGTTTGAGCCAAGTAAGAGGAGTAAGGGTCGTAATGGAAATGAGAATGCCTATCCTCACACACAAACACGCATGCCTGCTCATATTGCTGACACCCATTCCCTGCACGAGTGGCTCTCAACGCCTTGTCCCCTAAGAAGCCACCAACATTGGGGCACACACAGGGCCTCCCTCGCTGTGGCTTTACCGCCTTTATCCGCAGGCAACCCCTCCATCATCTTTTCGATCTCGGTCCATTTCGCCCATTTCAATCTCATCCATCTATCTACCTGCCTAGGCTACGACCTTAAGATATCAGCTCAAACTCGTTCGAATCTCTCGTCTCGATACCCGTCCGCTTGCGCTTCCTGTATAGATCTTGACCGCTGTACATACCTTACTCTTGGTACCCTCTCGCCGCCCTTGGCCAGAGATCCCTCTCGTCTTTTGGGCGTCGCTTCTCTTCTCTTCTGATGGTGAGCCTGCCCACCCGCTTGCCGCCCTCTCCGCTCGCCTACCCCCGCCTTGCTGGAGACCCTACTCTGTAGGGGAAAGGCCGCCGTCACTATGATGCCCCCCCTCCAGGCTCATGTGTGCTGTGCCGCCTGACCTTCTTGGCCGGGGCCATGGACTGAGGCAAAATGTGGACTTCAAAATCCCACCATGTCATGTCCTGGGCGAGCGAAATAAAAGAGACTTGGGGACAGTCGGGCACAAAGCAAAAAAAAAAGACACAAAAAAAGAGAGGCGGAGATGTAACTCACACAAATCCCACAGTCGAGTCATTTGCACCACAGGCTGCTCCCCAAACCGTCGTCACTTCTCCGAGAATCAACTGAGGATCCCGACGCCTGGCCGTGACTCAAGACCTACCGACCGGGCACCAGATCGAGCGTCCCGTCGTTCACGTGGTAGAGCATAGGTTCCCTGTTCTGTTCTGTTCTGTCCTGTAGAACTCTAGCCTCGTGCTACCGTCTGTAACAGCACGGTACTGTGCAGGACGATACAGTACATTACATTACCACAGGCCTCGCCCGCCGTTAACTTATCCACAT